AATATGCTTGTAAATAAATTTAAAAAGGATATTTCAGTGGAAAACCATCTTATTGTCTTATATCTCTTGGTCACTACAGGTGGATGATCCTTGTGCCTAAGTTACAGGGCATTGTACACTGAAACTTTTACATATATATTACGACTGCACATCTTACCTGTGATGGTTTGTACAGTGGGCGTAGATGCGTAGTTTATCCCTTATTACTTTTCCTGGACGAGGCTTCCTCTGAATACCAGCCACATGAACCGCCAACACTTTGGCACCCACAAGCCTTTTAAAAAGAAGTGATACCCAGTAATCCTATAACAAAGAAAAAGTACTCAATTTATTTATTATTTATTACAGGTATTTATATAGCGCCAACAATTTACGCAGTGCTGTACATTCTGCACATTCACATCAGTCCCTGCCCTCAAGAGCTTACAATAAAGGGTCCCTATCTCCCATGATGCAAGCAGGGCCAATTTTGACAGGAGCCAATTAACCTTCCAGCATGTCTATGGAGTGTGGGAGGAAACTGGAGTACCCGGAGGAAACCCACACAAGCATCGGGAGAACATGCAGACTCCATAGAGATAGTGTCCTGAGCGGGATCCATTAGAAAAAGTTTCTTCTAGAAGCTTTTTTTGTACAAGTAACATGTTTACTTTGCAAGGAATTTCAATAGTTACCTAATTAAACCACTAACAGATGGATAATTATATGTGTAAATCACTATACTATCACTATACTATATATTATCCTCATGACATGATTATATTAAGCCATTTGTACAGCATAATGTACTATCAGAAAAGGATTGATCATGTTTAATGTTTGGTGTTTCCCAAGAAAAGGACAAATGACCGACCTGTGTGTGGCCGGAATTGCTTCCTGATATTGCCTTTGTTTAGATTTTCTTATTGCATTTTTATTTACTGAACTAAAAGAATATAAACATTTAAACAAAAGGAAAAGGTTGTGTGGAAATGGTGGAAATGAGCTTTCTACATATGAACATTTGTCTTATTGCCTGTGTTAGTGAGAATTTGGAGATCCACTGGTAACAGTTACCTGATCTCTCTGCACTGGAAGCACGCTCTGGTACCATGTAGCAGGAGAAGAATTTGAAAATCTGTTCAATGAAAAACCTTTAAATCCAGGTAAAGGAAGTCACAGTGTCCTTTACTTGGTTTTAAACATACATTAAATAAAGACGAGCTTTTAATATACATATGCCTGGCCAAGACGAAACTCGGGCACCCCCCCCCCCCCACACACTAAATCTGCAGGATCTCAGGGGGGCTGTGCAGGATCTGTGGTGGGCTCTGTCATGGACCTGCAGAGCCCACCACAGATCCTGCAAAGCCCCCATGACACCCTGCAGAGCCAACCACAGATCCTGCACTGAGACCCTGCAAACTGCAGGGTCTCAGGGGTGCTTTGCAGGAACTGTGGTGGGCTCTGCGGGGTCTTTGGCAGAGCACACCACAGATCCTGCACAGTCCACCCGAGACTCTCAGGTGGGCTGTGCAGAGTCCATGCTGGGCTCTGCAGGGTCTCTTTAGCAGCAGTGTGATCCTGTTACCTGCTGCTTGGTCCCAAGCCTCCTCCACTGCTGGACTGGTGCTGCAGGACTCAGCCTCCTCCGCAGCCCGACAGCTCTTCAGTGACCCGGCTTCCTACGGCGCAACGGCGCCCTGGCCCCGCCCCTTCCTGATGTGATGTTGCCCCGGTCTCGCCCCATCCCCTACTGCTGCTCCACCTCGCCCCCTCCTGCTGCTCCTCCTCCTCTGCCTCTTCCACCTCCTCCACCGTCGCTTCCTCTCGCCTCCTCCTCTGCATCTTCCAACTCCTCCTCCGTGCGGCTGCCTAACTGTTTTGGGGGCCGCCCCCCTGAAAACTGCCGCCCTAGGCAAATGCCTTGTTTGTCTTATGGCAGATACACCCCTGGTCGGATCACTTAGTAAAGTCTTCTCCAGCACATCCCAAAGATTCTCAATGGGGTTAAGGTCTGGATTGTGGTGGCCAATCCATGTGTGGTTTTGCCTGATGAAGGGGATCCTGCATGATCGTGAAATGTTGCAACTATGTAATATTATGCGCATGCGTCAAGAAAGGGCGTATTCGTCAATGAGTTTGGAGTGCCGGAGATTTTTCCCCACTTCCTGTTTGGTGAAACCATTGTCACTGGTGCAGGAAATGGGGCTAAATCCCTCTGAAGGAGCCCGGGAATCAATAAAAACACAACAGGGATTCTCTGTCCAAAACTAGAAAAAAAGTTTTGATTGAACTAACACTTTAAAAACTACCTACATACTCTAGTAAGGGTTATAATTTGAGTTATCCAAAATAAAAGCCTGTGAGATCTGCTTCAGTTGTTGTATAGGGCTGCTTTGATGCAGTTCATCGCTGGAACTGGCTACAGGCACAATGTTGTCGTAAAATTATTAATAGAAATTCAAGCTTTGGAACCTGGAACAAATTAGTGCCTAATGAGTAGCTGTGTCTGATTGTTCTTTTTATTGCAGCAAGTGCAGGCTAAACAGCTGGATAAAATGAATACTATGTGAATCATTAGTAGAAATTCAACACATGATTTCCTTGTGCTTGTTAAGTTAAACTCTTACTCCCTGGTGTTAATACGCTCATGATTATTTATTCCTGTGAACATGCTCATTAGCTTACACAGTCGTCTTTCTCTGCTTTGTAATAAATTGAGTACAGTCTCTATAGTGGTCTATACTGGACTGTAATTGGCATCCATACTCAAATTAAGGAAAATAAATGGCACAACTTTATAATTTTTACTAGTGTGTAAAAATATCCTTAGTGAAAAGGTTAAATACCTTTATCTAAAAAGTATTTGGCTGTGAGTTTTCTCAGGTCATTGAGTCAAGTAGACAGGGTTCTTCTCCCAAACTAGTAATTAATGTAGACAGGACTGTTGTATGGTGTGTTGTTACTTCTAAAGGTGCCCATACACCTTGCGATTATCGCACGATAATCGCTGGAAATCCCGCGATCGTACGATAATCGCAAGGTGTATGGAAGGCGTGCGACCGTTTTTACTGTGCGGTCGCACGTCTTTTGTCGAACCAGCAGGCTAGAAAACCCGCCGAGAATCGTATGATTCTCGGCGGGTTTCTAGCCTGCTCGCCCGATAGCATATTGCATTTTTATTTACTGAACTAAAAGAATATAAACATTTAAACAAAAGGAAAAGGTTGTGTGGAAATGGTGGAAATGAGCTTTCTACATATGAACATTTGTCTTATTGCCTGTGTTAGTGAGAATTTGGAGATCCACTGGTAACAGTTACCTGATCTCTCTGCACTGGAAGCACGCTCTGGTACCATGTAGCAGGAGAAGAATTTGAAAATCTGTTCAATGAAAAACCTTTAAATCCAGGTAAAGGAAGTCACAGTGTCCTTTACTTGGTTTTAAACATACATTAAATAAAGACGAGCTTTTAATATACATATGCCTGGCCAAGACGAAACTCGGGCACCCCCCCCCCCCCACACACTAAATCTGCAGGATCTCAGGGGGGCTGTGCAGGATCTGTGGTGGGCTCTGCCATCCATAGACCCCCAACCCACCACAGATCCTGCAAAGCCCCCATGACACCCTGCAGAGCCAACCACAGATCCTGCACTGAGACCCTGCAAACTGCAGGGTCTCAGGGGTGCTTTGCAGGAACTGTGGTGGGCTCTGCGGGGTCTTTGGCAGAGCACACCACAGATCCTGCACAGTCCACCCGAGACTCTCAGGTGGGCTGTGCAGAGTCCATGCTGGGCTCTGCAGGGTCTCTTTAGCAGCAGTGTGATCCTGTTACCTGCTGCTTGGTCCCAAGCCTCCTCCACTGCTGGACTGGTGCTGCAGGACTCAGCCTCCTCCGCAGCCCGACAGCTCTTCAGTGACCCGGCTTCCTACGGCGCAACGGCGCCCTGGCCCCGCCCCTTCCTGATGTGATGTTGCCCCGGTCTCGCCCCATCCCCTACTGCTGCTCCACCTCGCCCCCTCCTGCTGCTCCTCCTCCTCTGCCTCTTCCACCTCCTCCACCGTCGCTTCCTCTCGCCTCCTCCTCTGCATCTTCCAACTCCTCCTCCGTGCGGCTGCCTAACTGTTTTGGGGGCCGCCCCCCTGAAAACTGCCGCCCTAGGCAAATGCCTTGTTTGTCTTATGGCAGATACACCCCTGGTCGGATCACTTAGTAAAGTCTTCTCCAGCACATCCCAAAGATTCTCAATGGGGTTAAGGTCTGGATTGTGGTGGCCAATCCATGTGTGGTTTTGCCTGATGAAGGGGATCCTGCATGATCGTGAAATGTTGCAACTATGTAATATTATGCGCATGCGTCAAGAAAGGGCGTATTCGTCAATGAGTTTGGAGTGCCGGAGATTTTTCCCCACTTCCTGTTTGGTGAAACCATTGTCACTGGTGCAGGAAATGGGGCTAAATCCCTCTGAAGGAGCCCGGGAATCAATAAAAACACAACAGGGATTCTCTGTCCAAAACTAGAAAAAAAGTTTTGATTGAACTAACACTTTAAAAACTACCTACATACTCTAGTAAGGGTTATAATTTGAGTTATCCAAAATAAAAGCCTGTGAGATCTGCTTCAGTTGTTGTATAGGGCTGCTTTGATGCAGTTCATCGCTGGAACTGGCTACAGGCACAATGTTGTCGTAAAATTATTAATAGAAATTCAAGCTTTGGAACCTGGAACAAATTAGTGCCTAATGAGTAGCTGTGTCTGATTGTTCTTTTTATTGCAGCAAGTGCAGGCTAAACAGCTGGATAAAATGAATACTATGTGAATCATTAGTAGAAATTCAACACATGATTTCCTTGTGCTTGTTAAGTTAAACTCTTACTCCCTGGTGTTAATACGCTCATGATTATTTATTCCTGTGAACATGCTCATTAGCTTACACAGTCGTCTTTCTCTGCTTTGTAATAAATTGAGTACAGTCTCTATAGTGGTCTATACTGGACTGTAATTGGCATCCATACTCAAATTAAGGAAAATAAATGGCACAACTTTATAATTTTTACTAGTGTGTAAAAATATCCTTAGTGAAAAGGTTAAATACCTTTATCTAAAAAGTATTTGGCTGTGAGTTTTCTCAGGTCATTGAGTCAAGTAGACAGGGTTCTTCTCCCAAACTAGTAATTAATGTAGACAGGACTGTTGTATGGTGTGTTGTTACTTCTAAAGGTGCCCATACACCTTGCGATTATCGCACGATAATCGCTGGAAATCCCGCGATCGTACGATAATCGCAAGGTGTATGGAAGGCGTGCGACCGTTTTTA